AAATTTTGAAAAAAAATTCAGCGGGAAAGGTTATATCAGAATGACTAGACCTCAAAAAATGGGAAAAAATCAATGAAAATCGAAGTTAATCGTCATTTATCTCGGAAAAATGTATGTCTTGCTTCGATTTTTTCCTCATAGATCGAAAGCGCACTCAATTTTGAGCCGATATGCACATTTTTAAGAACCAACATGTTTTATTTGGTGAAAATTGGTAAAAGTGTGAACTTAAGCGGCCACCTATATTTTAATATCTTAGTAATCAACTGCAATGTACTCGGTTTTTACTTTGTTTGTTCACTTTTTTATTTTTCGGCTTGAAACCATTCTTTTGGAATGATATTTCGAAAAAAATGGTTTTTATTCGATTGCTATGAAAATTGGTATTTGGGGTTTTTTTGATAAGAGAAAAAATAATATGACATTTATTTTGCAGAAGAATTCGTTCATGGTACATTTCCTATACAAAAGTCTTCATCTTTTGCCATTTTGAACATATTACCGGTAACCAAAATACTATCAAAACTATTGATATAAGTAAAAAAACACTTCTTTCGAAGTTCCCAGTGTGACGCAATACTATAAATCTGAAAATATTCTGATATAAATTTTCAGTGACGCATTCACTCAAACATGTACAAAATGTTATTATTATGGAAACGTACACTCTTTTTGAAACTAACTAAACCGTTCTCCCATTTAATTAAAATTGTATTTACTTGCAGCGGCTTTGTATTTTTATGGACATATTACAAAAAATAAAAATTGAAAATAATTGCTTCAGAGTAAAAAACAGCAGATTTTTCGTTCAAAGTGAAACATAACTTTTAGACATGTAAATAACTTAAGACATTCTGTGTTTGCATTTTAGAGGCGACGCAATAATAACATTTTGTACATATTTGAGTGAACGCGTCACTGAAGATTTATATTAGAACATTTTCAGATTTATAGTATTGCGTCACACTGGGAACATCGAACGAAGTGTTTTTTTACTTATATTATGCATACCGCAGGAGTATACACTTATCCCGACTGAGTTAGCAGTTATTTCCAGCCACGGATATTTGTCCAGCATAATCGAAAATCGCAATATATACTTATGAGATTGTGTTTTTATTAACAGTTTCACAAATATAACCAAAAGTTACAGATAACATGAATTGCGAACGAAAAACAACTATGGACAATCAGGGGAAGTAAATACTTGTAAAACCGACAAAGATAACGAACAGCGCAAAATCAATTCATACATGATAACATACAAAAGGGTACTTAAAATTTCATTCTTGTTTACCAAAGGCAGCTATATCTAAAAAAGAATCAGTGATGGTTTTTTCCTATCTGAATAGCGCTAGCTATTCGCAGCGTCTGAACAGCATTGCTGCCCAGATGCTGAATCGAAGCGGTTGCCGCACGCGTCTTGTACCACACAACATATTGTCATATAGTCTAAGTAACCAGTGAGCTCACAGAGTATGATACACTAATACCATAGTCAGTATACAAACGCATGTCGAACAGAGAATGAACGCGAACGTATATGCTCTGTGTGGTAGAAACGAAGTGTGTTGCGCGTGCGGCAACCGCTACGATTCAGCATCTGGGCAGCAATGCTGTACAGGCGCTGCGAATAGCTAGCGCTATTCAGATAGGAAAAAACCATCACTGAAAAGAATTAATCAGCCTCCGCTCGTTTTGAGTTGAATCCAGAAATAAAAGAGCAATTATTTTATATTACGTGTTTTCATCTGTTTTATTTTAAATACATAACTTGAATTGTTATTTAGGTTACGTTTATTATTATTGTGGTTTTTCATCGTTTTTTTAATATGATTATATTTATATAAATTTCATTTTATTAACTTGCTAGTTCATTCTTCTTTTTTTTTCATTTTCTTTCACTTTACACTCAAGACTCAACACATCGTCTCATCGGAAAATGTCCCATAATTTTTTGTTTTATTTAATCTTCTTTGCGTTTCTAACAGGTGAGATTGATTGTAAGTAATATCAATTACATGTAAGTCTGAATGAATTTCGGCTTCACCTGTAAAAATGAGTTCGTCTAATATTAGGCAGGATTATTGCTTCGTAGCGTAAGTTGTGCGAAATCAATAAGCCTGCAATGTGAATGTAACGATTTCTGCCATTTGAATTTCAATGTGGAAATAAAGCATTTTGTTGGATTTTCACAAATATACAACTATCGCAACAAAAATAAATTTTCATCGCAAAATTCTCGATCGTATGGAATTATGATTTGTGTTTGCGGAAATAATAAAAAAAAAAAAAAAACATATTTGACTTATATTCACCGATTTTGTTTTTAAAACCATCGATTTTTTTCTACTTGTGCCTACGATTTTGTTAATATATTTGTTCCTATTTCATATTTGACACAAAATTGGGTGCCGGACATGTATTCATCTTGTTTTGTGTGTTTGGTTGTATGTGTGTGTGTCTGTATGTGTGCTTCGCATTAGCTTATAAATCTTCATTTTGTTTCTAGTATTTTCAACTTATTTAAAATTTAAATCACGTTTGAAATGTATTGCATTTTTTGTGGTTGTAGTTTCGGTTGCGATTCAATTTACTGCTTCCAATTTATTTCGTATTGTTTTACAGATTAGACCGAATTGGAAGGATAAATATCGAAATCTATGAGTTTTTTTTGTTCTTTATTTGGAAAATATCGCTGGAAATTCGTGTTGAAAATGTTTATATCATTTTGAGGGAGTTTTTGCTGTTGCTTGTTTGCTGTTAGCACCATAATGTCCACACATTGTGTGGCGCATATCAAACACAAACATTTTTTGTTTTTTTGTTGTTGCCTATGTATACTGTTAATGTTTTCGTAGATAAAAATATACTATAGACTATATTTCTGAAATGTCATTGGTTTGAATGTTTATGATCCATTTATTATAGCATTTGTTGTTGTGTTTTTGTTTCTTTTTGTTGTTCGAAATACACTCTTTTTAAGTAGTTTCTTATAGATGTTTTTTATAATTTTTTTTTTCTCAAGAATACATGATAATAATTGTTATGTATATCAAAACTATTATTTCGTTAAGAATGCATCGACATTGTGTTATTTTCTCGATGAATGTGTGTGTGTTGTTATTTTTTCCGTTGGAGATTGACCACTTAAATTTAATACTCTTTTTTATTCATATTCAATAGAAGCTTCAATCTCATTCTCATTTGAATCAGGTTTCGTTCGATTGAACATTGGATACATTTATTATTTTATTTTAAACAAATCAAAGAACAATCGAGAAATGATGCTTTTTTGCTCTTCATTTTATGTGTTTGTATGTGTGTCTATTTCTCTGTGTGTGTTTTTTTTTGCTTTTTTTTTTGTAATAAACTAACTATTATGTAGTATTTGATACTGAATTTTGTTGCAGCGATCTAATTTCATTTCGCAAACGAAGAACTTCACTTTCTTGTAGACATGCTTTCTTCTCTAGCGATGTAAGAATCTCACTGGTTTCGGCGACAATCGATTTTAAGTGTGCATTCTGCAAGATCAGCTCTTCGGATGCACAGATTTGACCATTATCTTGTGCATGATGGGTACCATTGCCGGTAACATTCTCCTCGGAATCGCTGTCCTCTTCTTCACCATTCTGATAGGTGGTCGATGCAACCGCCGATCTCTTTTTCACACGATGATTCGATTGATTTTGTTGCTGCTGCTGCTGCTGCTGCAATTGTTCTATGTGACCTGAGACATTTTCTAACCATGAGTCGTAGTCAACATTGGATGGAACGTTTGGAAATAGGCGTTCGAACACCAATTTTGTGCGTAAAACATGCTCTGGCTCAACATTATTGTTTGATGCAGCTGGCGATGTGATTTTTGATGGTGAAAGGCTTGCATTTGTGGTCTGCAATGAAACAAAAACAAACAAAAGTCATACAAAATTGTTACGAATTTTCCAGTTTTTCGAGAGTTTTAGGACTTTCACAAAAAAAAATTGCAATTGATTTAAAAAAAAAAAGAATTCACTTGAAAAAAATTCATTGGGAAAAAGCCACAAAATATCATTGGAAAATGAAAAATACCACAGTTTGATGTGATTCTGATCACACGGGGAAGAAAATTGAAAAGTGAAAGTTCTCGCAAATGAATGACTTAATTGGTAGAATAGAAAATATTTGGAAAAACTTACAACTAATTTGCATTTGGAAGAGATTTTATAGGCAGACTCTTCGGCCTTTTGTAATGCATCTATCAATTTCCAGTTTTTCTTACGCAATTCCTATAACATTTTCATAGTTAAATATGTGATATTGAATTTACTTCGATTGCTTGCATTGAAACGATAGATTTGGAAAGATTTTCAGAGTGAAAATGGAATATGTAGAAAACAAAAAGAAAGAATGAAACATAGTTGTGCTCAAATTCACGCTACTGTGTGTGTGTGACTTTGAACTGCTTTCAGGACACGGACAAAACGAACACGAACGAACAAATACGGACGACTAGACAAACATTTTGCGGACAAACATTCGATTCAAAGTGCAATGAGAGCTAATTAGCTCTCTGGATTTTTTTGTAAGCATCTAATAAGATAAAAAGGTTTATTGGCCGTTTGTTTGGATCGTGTCCGTTTGCCATTGGACGCCTTCATGCAGATCTAAGCCGTGCAAAGTACAGAAAGAAATGTTGATCATTTTTTGTTAAAAATCAAATCATTTTTACTCACGTTGTTCTTCTCTTTGTAATCGGCTATTTGTTTGAATAGCTCTTGTTCGCGCTGATCAACTGACGCATTCTCCAATTTCGATTGTAGCTCATTTAGTTTTTCGTCTTTTTCGCTAATTGTCGTGCGATACGACTGAATGAAACTGTTCAACTCTTCGATCTGTAAATAAATGAATTCATTCAATTCTATCAAAATGTTCTATGGCAAATGATTGGGCAGCTCGATTCATACCTGATTTGAATATTTTCGAATGACTGTCGTATTTTCTTCTTCGTACGATGATTTTAATTCGCTCAATTGTGAATTTAGCTCACCGATACGCTTTGAACTCTCCGCTAATTCATTGCGACTCAGCGTCAATTCGGTTTTCGTTGAGTCGAGCGCATTTTGTAAATTTCTTATTTCCACTTTGCTGCTATCTTCAATTTGATTTGATTGTTTATTTTGTTCGTTCAAACGTGATTCCAATTGCTCAAATTCGTATGTCTTCAATGCATAGAGCTTTTCTAATTCTTCTTTTCGTTGGCATTCGCTGCGCAAACGAAGAACCTCACCATTCAAATATGCAACATCCTGTTCATTTTTGTGAACTAGATCTTGATACTTCTGTTCGCATTCATTCAATTTGCTTACATGTTCATCGCGAATTTGTAGGAATTTTTCTTGCAAATCTTGAACAATATTGTTCTTGTTCAACAGTTCAGCCGACAGCTGAGCGTGTGCATCGGTGAGTTGCTGCAATTTCTGTGTCGACTCTTGCGATTGTGCATTCTTTTCTTGGAACAATTTTTGTTGCAAAAGTTGTAGTTGTTTGTTCAATGCTTGCTTCTCGTTGTTTGCACGATCGACCAATAGTTGACGATCTTGTTGTGCTTGATTCAAATCGATTTTCAACGCATTCAATTCTTCGATGTGAGCATTCTTGAGATGCGATGCTTGTGTTCGTTCTGTATTTAATTCGGCACGCAATTCACGCAATTTTGTTTGAATTGCAAACATTGCCTTTTGTTCTTCGGCCAAAAGACGATCTTTTTCCTCGAGCTGATTGCGCAATTTGTGAATTGGATCGTCGCTCCAATCGGAATGGGTCACATTGGCCGTATCTTGTTGTTTATTCAACAAGAAATCGATCAAAATTTGAATTTCATTACGTGTCAATTCGACGCGACCCAATTGCTGGATAATTGCATTGACATTCACTGCCTCGGATGTTGACGAAGCAACACCAGCATCAACTAATCGAAAATACAAGAAAGAAATTATTATAACATCTCTGGCTGTGCTATTCACACGAAATTTACCTAATTGTTGAATCAAAAGTGCATCGTTGCGCTTCTTCTTGTTTGGTTTCTCCTTGTTGGCAACATTTTTCGGCGATTCTTTTGGTGCAGCGGCAACGGAAGCGGCAACAATCTCAAACGGTACACTCAATTGTGCATCGACCGAATCATTTGGTGGATTGGACACCTTTTCAACAGTATTTTGTGTAGCAGCAGGAGAAATGTCTTTTTTGGCTGGTTTACCTAGAATTTGGGGCATAGGATAAATTTATACACTTTCAAATGGATTTCACATTTTGAGCTATGTACCTTTCTTGTTTTCTTTCTTATTCACGGTGCGGCCAACCGATTCATCGCGTTGTTTCTTGATTTCCAAATCATCTTTTGGATGACTCTTATCGAAGTGGTTCAATGTCTCAATGTTGCCATTTGCTGGCGGTGCTGGTTTAGCAGCAGTTGTTGACTTATTCACCAGAATTCCAGATCCAGGTGACTTTGATGTGCTCGTCTTACGAACTGGCGGATTTATTTTTCCAACAGACAATTGACGCTACACACAAATGAAAGAGAACACATTTTATCAATACATTTTAAACGAATTGAATGTAAATAATTTAGTTTTTTTTTCTGAATTTCATTGAGTAGCCAGTTTTTTATACAAAAAAAAAAGATTTACCTTGAATTGAACGGTGTTGGTTTCCGGAGCAATGATCTCCTCTTCAGTGAATTCAACATGAGCCTTGCCATCATGTGGCGTAGCGTTTGAATCATTTTCAGAGCCACTGTCGGATTTGCCATCACTTTCTACAGCTGGATGCTGTTGAGGTGCTTTCTGTTGTTTGGCATCCTTCCGGTCTCGATTCTATTGAACAAAAGAAAAAAATTACTCAAAATCCAAAACACGAAATGTCTCCATAAAAACTTACCTTTTTGCCAGTGTTGGTCTTCTTGGTTGCATTCTTCTTCTTATTGCCGTACAATTTTTCGGTTAGTTGACGTTTTTCGGCCAGCGCTTCTTCAAACGTTTTACCACTGCGCAGTTGTCGATTGACGAAAATCAACGAACACAGCGATATGAAGAAAAACGCAAATATGATCAAATAAATTTGAAGATCCATTCTGTGTAAACGAGAAAAATCCATTGAATACATTAATTGTTATGGTCTACATCGATTCCATTTAAAAATATAAATAATGATGACGACGAGTCAGTTGTGTTCTTGAATTCGTTGTTGATTCAATTGTGTCATCGTCAATTTCTAAATTGAAGACATTTCGAAAGACGAGCGTAAGTAAACAGCTGCACGCTTCAATAGAGTTATTATGTTCAAGTGAGTCTGTGTCGTCTCTGTACATATCATTAATGCAAATTTATTTGTATTTTTTCTTCATTTTATTTATTTATCCCCGAGATGCAAATCAATCGAATGATTCTACTTCACTTTTATTCCAGAGAAAATAGGAGCAGAATTTTGCAATTGGCTGCATGTGTATGTTTGGAATTGACAAATATATGTGTATGTTCGCCATTTGTACAATTACAACATGATTTGAGCTCTATATTTTGTTCAGCTATGCATAAAATTGTTCCTTTCAATAATATTTTGCCTTTTGTTTTATTGCATGCCAATTTCAATTTGCTTGTATTTTTCACACTTTCCAGCTCTTAAATGCATTATTCGTTGGATTGAATGTTATTAAAATAATTCGAATGCATAATTTTTATGGAAATAATAGTGTGAACATTGCACATACAATGTGAGAAGAATAAAAATTGAATGCTAGAGTTTGCAGGACGAGAGAACAAGAACCTCCCGTTGAGTTATAGATAAAAATGCTGTGCATATTCAACGGTGCAATAAGTTTTCATCGCATCCGCTCAAGTGGATATTAATTTAAATCGAATCTTTGTATTCGGATAAAGCTGGTTTAAATGTGTCAGGTCATGGACAGTCGATGTATTAACGTAGCTCAAGCTAGACAATGTGATTTTTCAACCATTAAACGTCAAGCAAGCATTAGTACAGCACGTAATTTGCAAATTACTTTTGCAAATTTGCGATACGATAAATTCGTTCACAACCATAAAACGATAAAATCAAGAGAATAATTTCAGTTAATAGCACCGCGTCGATACCGTTACAATGATAGTGAAAGAGAGAGTGTGAGAGCAAGCATGTATTTGTGACGTGCTATTTTCATTCATTGTGATGATGATCTTTTAGTATTTAAACGAAAGAGAGAGAAAAAAAAACTATTTTTTTCATTTTCAACCATAATTCATTTGATAATGCCCTTGTTCTGGCACATTTCGAGTCGTGAGTGCATTTATTGATTGCTCCCCTTCAAAAGCGTGTGGCATATATCACTATAATTGAATATGAATGCATTTAAAATCACGTATGTAAATGTTTGAAACGTACATTTAGGCCGCAATGATGCTTAAATGTTGTCGAAACAATCAAGCCAAACGAGAGTAAATTAATATAGTACGGGCGATATATGCAATTTAATATAATGTCTGACTTGTTGTTTTTTTTTTTTTTTTCAAAAATCGACGCTAGAATCAGCCATATATGCTGGTTTTATTTCAAGTCCAAAAACCCAACGGAAATTGATAAGATGATTGCATTGAAAATTTAATTATAAATATTATAATCAATGTTAGGCTGGGGGGAAAACATGTGTGTAAGCAATGTCTCATCGCAATGAATCATACATATTTTTCGCTGAAATTCTCTGAATTTGAAATTCGACTCAGTTGTGCGTAGCTTCGAAATGTCAATGTGACACATACAATGTTTCAATATCAATTTCCAGTAATTTTGCTAATTAAATTTTCTACAAATTTAATTTGTTTGCGCCCGATCCGTTCAATGGATTTCAAATGTGATAAAATTGTACACGTTCACATGTGGTTGTTGAAAAAGAGAAAACAAAATATATGTGAAAAATCATTTTCTCTGAGTGAGACAAAAAAGCTAGCACAAAAACGAACTATTAAAAATAGTAGCATATGTGGAATTAGTTCATTGGCTCATTTTTCGCATCTCAGTATTTGTGGTGTAATCTTTCGATCCTTATCGTATTTTTTTTGTCTTGTTCAATGATCCAATGAAGAAATGACACTAAACAAGTGACGTAAATTGAATACAACAATAAAAAAAACGGTATTTCTGTTTGTTGTCGCATTCGGCGCCGCCGCCAACAATGATGATGTGGATGCAAAATAACAACAAAATCACATTTTAAACGAATGATGTATGAAAATGTTTGGTGTTTAGTTTTTAGACGCCGCAACTTAATTGTTGTGTGTTTGTCGTTGTTGTTTTTTTTTTGCTCTGTTGCTTTGTACTTGTAGTGTTTAACGGGGCGTGGCATGGCATGGAATCATTATATCAGTTTGATTGAGTTCGTGGGCTTAAACTAGTGGATGATCTCATACTGCCGGTTATGCGGCATCCGTTAAACACTACCATAAGCAAAGCCGGTCAACTATAATTTTGCGCTCCGTAATTTTTTTACTTCTCTCTCCACTATCGCTGTTCAGTTTCATGGTTGTTGGCAGTGGGCATTCTCTCTTGCTTTAAATCGCTCTCACTTGCTTTGCTTCTATGAATAACTTTCCGATCAGCATATTTCCTCTGCTCTCCATTCATTTATTTAAAAAAAAAAAATATTTCGTCGTTGTTTCAATGTTATCGCATATATATCATCTACCATTTCAATTCCGACATTGCATTCAATGGTGTTGAATGTATGCTTTTTTCAGCTCTCTAGAGCTGAATGGGAAATACTTTTTTTTAGCTCTGGTTTGTTTTTTATATGTGAATGTGAATTATTTCTCATATATTGTTCGAAAGTGAAATAACAAAAAAATGCCCTTTGATGCAGATAAAGATTAATTAGCTAATAGTTTATTTAATCATTGTGTACTTTTTTTTTCACTAACTTCAAAATTGAATTAAATTTAGCGTTCAATTTGGTAACAAAGTGAATGGTTGAGTACAATCGACAATGGATTTATTTGAAAGTGTTTTTTGCTGACGCGCGTCAAGTAGACATCTGACACACGTACATATATGGAAATCGATTCGAAATGAATTGAAAAAAAAGGACACGCTTTCAGGTTAATGCCACTTTAATAGTACAGTGTCAGCCACTATTGCAATATGAGTTACAAATCAAGCTAATTTTAAGACGAACACAAAAAAAACGGCGTGCTTTATCACCCGTTGCCGAGCGAATATAAACAGATTTTCTAAACGGAAACAAAACGACGCAAAAATCTACACGAAATACAAAAAGATTGGTGACACCGCACATTCCAAGTATGAAATACGTGGCTAAAAATTCATACTCAAAGGTCACATATTCTCATTCACACACCGAAACAATCAACGCACACACGAACACATACATCGATACACAAGGCACGTTCACCGGTCGGTCCGGTTCTACTGATTGAAACAGCGGCGCACATATTCTTGTGAATAATTGCGACATGATTTACGATGCACATATATATTCTCTTTTTTCTACAGCCACATGCCTTTTGGTATTTGTGTGCAGCTGATTTGTGTCTTTTTTCAACATTGTGTGTGCAGTGATGAAATCAAATATGTGCCATATTACATGCAAATCAAATAAAAATTATTGCAGTTGTTGGCACAATTTTATTGTCGATTCTGTTGAAAATTGCAAAAATTCAATTTTGAAATGGAAACAAAAATTGAATGAACATCGAATGATACAAGAAATTCAAGATTTTTAATTTATTCGATTCGCGCACATTTTTTATTGTTTTTTTTATGATTACGAAATATTCACTTTCAGTTGACAGTTGAAAATATGCTTTTTTTGTCATATTGAATTTGTTTTAATTGTTCAGTTTTGACATGAACAAAAAACCGGTTTTAAAAAATTGGGTTCTAAGTGAATTTTTATTGGAATCTACTTCGCAATAGTCATGCCAATTTTCAGTATTTTTTTTATTGTTCTTGGTTAGTTTGCTGGCTGACTTGTTGGTTGGTTCGACTCGCTTATTTGTGGTCATTGAACTTGAGTGTTGCGAACGAATGAAGCTGCTTTTCGTTTTCCATATGTGTGTACCGTCGCGTATACCGGATGCTAATTGTATACAAATACACATTCACACATCGATTTATGAAATGAAAATGACATTTAACATTAAATGAGTAATTGAATCCGATAATTAGCTTGAAACAGGCGACGCCATAAAAATTCATTCTCAAACTCCCTGCCGATTCCAATCAATAAACATGGATAACAAAAGTTCGTTGACAAAAAATGCACAGACACACAGACACACACACAGTCACATTCGTCAAATAAAATTGTTCATTTTTTCATTCATAAAATATGAAATTGAAATTGATGTGACTAATTGGAATTGATGTGAGTTAAATACTATCATCAATATTTTTTGTTACAATCAAAAATGTCCATATTGTGCATGGTTTATGGTTGAATGTATATAGATATTGAAAAGAATTGTTCATGTGTAAAGAATCGCTATACGGTTTATTGAAACGCAAACGCCGAACGAACGATCGAATGAATGGCGACAAACATGTTCAGATTCCATATATATTATAAATATAAAAAAAAATTGTGATTATTAAAACAGTATCAGCATAGTTGTCACTCAGCTTTACCATTGCCATCACCATCGACAACAACAAATCATTCCAACACTTGATGTTATTATGGAGTAGACAAGACATCGTTATAGCCATCGTCATCACCATTCTTTTGTGTACTGCAAATACAAACAAACACACTCATCGCATTACTCACTCACTCGTTTGCTAAATCTCTCGCACTTACACATTTAAAGTGAAAATATAAAAAAAAACCATTCCCGTTTTACACCATATAATCAAATAGAACGCAAAAGAAGGAGAAGAATATTCGCGAAGAGAAAAAAAATGGCAACGAAAATAGAATTAAACTTAAATTCTCTTCAAATGCGAATTATGAATGCAAAGAATGTTAATTTGCGTACATATATTTCGAATACGAGGGAAATAAAGAACGTAACGTGAATAGAGAAAAAAAGGTTAACAAATTCTTTTGCGCGATGGAAACAGATTATTACTGCAGGCGCACATGAGAGCAACTACACACTGGTGCATCGTTGCGAATGGGAACTGCAAGCAATGTGATTGAGAATAAATATTGACCCAAAATCCAAAGTGAAATACACTACAATAAAGTGACGTTTTACTCTATGTGTATCTTATTCGTTCGTACGCTCGCATACTCTCTTGCTTATTTTCTTCGCCGACTCTCTTTCTCATGCGCGCCCTCCATCTCTTTCTCTCTCCCGCATCTCACAAAACTCAAACTATGCAATGCATGTTCTAAATTTTTTTTTCTCGTGTAAACACTCATCGTAACTCAAAGTTTTTTTTATGGAATGCCAAGCATTGCATTTTGCAAATCGATATGATCATAAAATATGCGTGGTAACACGATGCATAGAGGAAACGGCACGAATTCAGTAATTCAGTGAAAGGCAATTGAAGTCGCATAATAGTTTTCAACTACGACAGACACGGTATGAGTTTACTATAAAATTGCTCATAAAATTCCTGACTAATCGCCCGTAATAGTTGTGGTATGGCATTTAATACTTACATTGGGTCGTTATCGGTCGATGACAATCAGAAGTATTATAGCTGGTTAATGATTGACTCTTGTCTCGTTCGATTCCCTAATCGGCGCGGCGGCAATGGTACTATTTTATGATTTTATTACTTTCGAAAATGAATGATCCGTTATTTGATTTATTCGCGACGATTAACTATCGATTTATGCGTTTACACGGATTTGTTCTTTTAGTTTTATTTCAAAATTGTATTTTTTTTCTCTATATATCTCCAACACCACCAATTACAACGTGACAATATTTCGATTGATTACAGAGTATTTAAACGTAAAGAACACTTTTTTTCACACAAAACTTAATGAAAGAAAATAAAATTGAAAGAAAAAGGCACAGTTCAAATGAAGAGAGGGAATTAATTAATTTAATGCACACACAGAAACAATGAGAACTAAACACAGTCCAGAACACAGAACTGAAAAAATCAAAGGAAAAAAAAATTAAAATCAAAATAATAAATGAGCGGCGGCGGCAGCGATGTCGCGTTGCGTTTTACATGAAGCACGACTCATATAGAAATCTATATATTCGTTCGAATTGAGCTAAACGTATGTATAAGAAAAAAAGACTTTTTTCTTCTCTCTTCTTCTGTTCGTCTTCTCCTTCTTCTTTTTCTGTTCGAATTTCTTTTTGTTGCCTTTTTCTTGTTTGTATTGTTGTTGTTGCGGCTGACTCCGAGGAATTCTCACTCACAATCAAAACTTTAACGCTCTTCTGCCATTCACACGAATATACACACTTGACTTCTTATTTCGTTTCGTTTGAAATTGTACACTAGAGTGTATGCGTATATCTTTGATATAGTGTGACAGGCACGACCGACTTGAGAGAAAAAAAAATATGTCGACGTTTCTCTATGTTAAAACTTGCTCGATTTCAATTCGACGTTATTTTACCAAAATTTTATCGTATTTTTCCGCTTTTGACAGACTAAAAATGTTTTTTTTCGCACAAAAATTTGTCGCACCTACCCATCAATGTGTTGTATGGTAATATGTTTCCCCGGAATTTTTTTATTGGACTGTGGTGTCGATCGGCTTCGGTACCGTAATACAATACGAAAATATTATACATACAATAAACAACAAATGCGATTGCGGTGCGGAACGCATTTGGTTTCCACTCGTTTTTCACCACACCAAATTTTTTGTAATTCGAAATTAAACTGAAACTTAGCAAACGAAACGTTGTTTCAATTAGAAATCAAATGTGCCTTTACTTGAGGCCAACAAAATTTTTGTATGCAAGCGACTCGAGACGTGTTCTGCTTTTAATTGATGGTATCGCATTACAAATGGACTTTTGTGTGTTTTCGTCTGTCATTCCTTGTTTTTCAGCGTTTGCACACTCACACACAAACTGGGACCGTTTCTTATTCAACAACAAAACAGCGTATCGACGATTGGTTTGTGTATGTGCAACAATACACAGATGCATGCACACATGCAAACATTCGCTGTTGGCTGATTCGAATGGCGCTAGTAGCGTCACAACGTAATGACAACAAATCGCTGGCTTAACACGTAGTATATCTCAGCATTGACGTTGATATTGTGTCGATGAGTGGGTAATATAACTCATTTTTCTATGCGCAGACCCTGTGTATGCTGTCTCCTGACAGTTATACGAATAATTTGTTGCTGAATATGAGAGAAAATCGTACTAAAACCAATAGTTTACTAAGAAAATGCGCGGAATTCGATTTACAGTTTATAACGGCTACTTTTTTCCATCAAAGTCATATTTGTGTATTATGCCAGTGTCAAACACTCTATTTTTTTTATTGGTTAAGTTAAGTATTCAAATTAAACAAAACTCTGTGAATTCAATAGGTAAGCAGAAAATGTAGAAACATCAATTCCCTGCTCGAAAGAACATTTTCCCAGAAGCAAATCTCTCTTTAAAAAAAATTTTGTCTTGTATTCTGTATCAATCCTCCTCTCACATTTTTTCGCAGACATTCTGATAAACGATTATTTCAAAATATTGTATACATTTGCTCGTTAGTGGTATCGCATATCAAATAGAATTTTATGTATTTTCGACTGTTATTCCTTCGTTCTCCGCACTTATACACGCACACACATTTTCTCATTTCTCATTCAACTTTGTAAATGTATTGATTGTCGTTGATTATTCGAAATAATGTTGAAGGATTCCGTTAGTGCACAGCATTGGCATCGATTGGCATACACAAACGCTGAGATGACAATTTGAGTGGGTCACACTGTAAACATTTTTCACATTGTCGCCAGATCGCACAGACGCTACTTGTCAATCATCCGCATGAACTGTAACATGTCAAACGAGATTTCTTTTGCACATTTAGTTTAGTAAACGAACATTTAATAATGGCAACACGCAGCATATTCGATTGTGATGCACAAAATGAATTGGAACGTGAACAAGTTACATACGATGATGATTTGTTTGATTTTGGACTTGAAATACCGGCCGACGAAAGAGTTGTCATTCCGAAAAATGTAAGTATTTCTGAAACGATTTCCCAGAATGGTGCTGATAATGAAAAACGTGGTAAGCGTAAAGCACATAACGTTCCTGAATTCAGAGGTAACAATCATTTCAAATCGGCCAAATTGAATGTGCCAACAATCAAAGCAACTGCAAATGATGTGCCACGTGGACGCGTGGAATTCCAGAAAAAGTGTGACGAATACGAATTACTGCATAAAATCGGTAAAGGTACCTACGGTGATGTGTATAAGGCACGATATTCAACCGGTCAAATTATCGCAATCAAACGGATTCTATGTCCACTGGACATTCCGAACATGGTACTTTGAACTATATTGATACATCGACCAGAATAATTCAAATGTACACAATAAAAATCGGTTCGAATTAATTACAGGAAAAAAATATGGCGTTCGTCAAGCGTGAGTATGATCATCTGCGTGAAATGCAAGAGTGTAATAACATTGTGAAGCTGTTGAAAGGACGTGAGGACCAGATATCGGAGAAAGAGATTCAATTGGATTTATTGTTTGAATACTGTCCATATGACTTGCAAAAAATCATTTTGAACACACGCATTCACTTCCAGTTCAGTGAAATCAAAGCATTCTTACGGCAAATGTTTCTCGGTTTGGAATACATGCACAGCAAAATGGTTAGAATACTTAGAAAAATATGTTTTCTCTGGACTAACATTTGACACCTCTTGATTTTTTTCAGTTGATGCACAGAGACTTCAAAACGGAGAACATATTACTGACTGCTGATGGAATTGTGAAAATTGCAGATTTTGGATTGTCGCGCAAACTAAGCGATCCAAATTCAACGCTGGAAAAGCATAAATATACGCCAAATGTTGTGACACAGTGGTATCGGGCACCGGAAATTCTGCTCGGCGATCGTTATTACAATGAAAGTGTTGATATTTGGGCCATCGGTTGTGTGATGGGCGAATTTTGGAATCGAGGTCCAATATTGAAAGGTCACAACGAAATCAATCAAATAAAATTGATTTCAAAGCTGTGCGGATCGATGACAGCGAAAGATTGGCCAAAAATCGTAAATCTTCATTTATATCAACAGATTGAACATTTGCCAAATGACAAGCGAACAACTCGTACTTATTTGATTGAAAAGCCACCGAGACTGGCACACAATCAAGCCAATGACCTCTTTGACAAATTACTTCGATGTAATCCCGAAAAACGTTTGACCGCCTGCCGAGCACTGAACGATTCCTTCTTTTTCGAATCACCCCTACCAGCCAAAAATCTAAAGAAATTTATGATGCGCATTTTGCCGTTTCTAAATAGCTCTATCGCTGCACCCAAAACAGTGGAAATCAATCCGGCATTTGATTATGTCTATTAGTTTTGAGAAAAACACTCTTTTTCAATGCGACATACTTCGAGCAAAAGATTGGATGTTTTTTTCCTGACTCTCAAGTAAAACACACAAAATGGTGGACGTTAACCAATTCGAGACATTTTACTCACTGAATCATGATGGTAGCCCGATTTTGTGATTAAAATGATGGTTACTCTTATCATTTTTCAAAAATCGATGTGTTTGGGTTTCACTTTTGAGCCAAGAAAAATTCTTTTGCTCTCAGTTTGTTGTGTATAGTATACGTATCTCATACTATTCACTTTGATAGTGAAGAGTCAATTAAAGTATTGCAACATTGCATTATAGAGAATCAAAAGAAAATGAAACAACTCTACAAAAATACATTCCAAAAAAGAAAATGTAATACAGATTCATTTATAATGAAGTTCCATTAACTAAAATATCTGTTCGAAATGACAAAGAAAAATGAATAAAAAAACGATCGATTATGCGAACAAGTGGAGTTTTCATTATATAAAATTACGCGCCAATTTGTTTACCTTGAATTTTCTTAAGTAAAATGCAGTGTACGGTGTTGCGTGACATGCACGATGTGAACGTGACTTTATCTTTGACAGTTCACTCAACCAAATGAATACAACGCATGACATTTCACTGGTTGAACATTATGCAAACAAAGAAACTTGTAAACAGCAGCAATCATCATACTCAAATACTCATTTCTGTACATTGTAAAAGCACAAAAAAAAATAGATGTTAGACAAACGATAAAAACGCGCATCAAATATCAGTATTGTGTTTCATTGGCATAAGCTGGTATCGTGGTTTATTGTATGCAGTGCGATAAAAAACGACGTAGTGGGGCATCAAGGGTCGTCTGTATATAAAAACAGATTTATTTTGCATCGATGAGAGTGCAGTTATGACAGTTTCGTTGGATTCATTTCGATAAGCCTCGCATAGATAAACGCATCCTCATCCAATTATAATCTTCATTTAATTGTTGTAGTTTTTACCAATTATGGAGCAAGCTGAGAGTACATTCCGTTTTGTGTACAGTTCGTCACTAGATCATAAAGTCACGATTAAAATGTAAGTTAACATATGTTGCTGATTGAAAATGATTTTGATTGTAATTCGATTACAATTTCAGTGGCACATTGGAAGGTTTGAAACACAAGCCAAACTATGAAAAACTGCTAGAAAATCCATTGCTTCGTTTTTCGGGCTTATATTTGGACCAATGCCCACCGTTGTTGGTGCGATTACAATTGTTTAATAATGGAGAACCAATCGGATTGCCTGTGACCACATCGTACAAGGCATTCACCAAGCGATACAAGTAGGTCTTTTGTTCTAGAGTCATTCAAGTCCGTTTTGAACAAAATGGTGTGTTATTGAAACGAATTTTCAGTTGGAATGAATGGGTGACCTTGCCACATTTGTTTAGTGAATTGCCACGAACGGCCATGTTGGCAATAACAATATTGGACTGTGCTGGTGCTGGCAAAATGACAGTCGTTGGCGGCACAACAATCTCTTTGTTTGGAAAAAATGGCGTCTTTCGTCAGGTATTCTATATTTTCACATAAAATTTTTACAAACATTTCTTCCTTTCATAATAATAATAATCATAATTGCAGGGAAATTTCGACTTGAGAGTTTGGGCAGATACAGAAGCGGATGGAAATTTGAGCACAACAACACCGGGCAAGGGGAAAGATAATTCAAAAAATCAAATGCAACGTTTGGCCAAACTGGCAAAGAAACATCGTAACGGTCAAATACCGAAAGTCGATTGGCTCGATCGTTTAACGTTTCGTGAAATTGAGATGATAAACGAACGTGAGAAAAGCGAATCCGAAAATATGTTCTTGTTAATTGAATTTCCGACGGTTTTATGCGAACAAACAAATCAAACGGTACGTTAAAAAATAAGGAGTATTAATTTCAAAATCCGCACATGAATATAATTCGTTTGGTTTTTTTTTCTTTGCAGTATTCCATTGTATATTTTGAGCCCGAAGGAGATCTTCATTACAAATTCAATTCGAAACCGAAACTGGTAACCGTGCCGGATACAGAAATATTGCAGGTACCATTCTTTGTGTGTAACAAATCTGTCGCAATAATTTAATCTCTTCATGGTATGCAAAGTGGAAAATGTTAACGCTTTGTTTGCAAAGAATGTTTGTCGTGTCGTGTCTCATGCAATCGGATAGTTAGGTGGAATTTCTATGGTTTCCCACTATTATGCCATGTGATTAACCACTTTGTCTCGTTGTTTGTGGTTTTATTGTTGTCGTTTTTTTCATTTGCAGGAAAATTTGATCGAGCGAAAACATCATAAATTGGCACGTTCGGCACGTTCGGGATTAAGTGATCGTGATGCAAAACCAACGGCAAAAATTCGAGATAGATTGCATACAATCATATGTTATCCACCAACGAAACCATTGACAAGCGAAGAACAAGATTTAGTGTGGAAATATCGATTTTATTTAACGAATAACAAAAAAGCGTTGACGAAATTTTTGAAATGCATCAATTGGGAAACGAATTCTGAAGTGAAACAGGCTATTATTATGCTACAACAATGGACACCAATGGATGTTGAAGATGCACTTGAACTTCTCAGTCCAACATTTACACATCCAGCAATTAGGGGGTAAATAAATGCGTATTTCTCATCTTTTCAACATGAATATTAATTTAAATATAAAAAAAAAACATTTCAGATATGCAATAACACGATTGAAGCAGGCTCCAGATGACGATTTAGTATTGTATTTGCTGCAATTGGTTCAAGCCTTGAAATATCAGAATTTTGATGACATTGAGGTAACTATATAAAAAATGTTCAATTGAATTTTAGTTAGCATGCTTGATTTGGATTTCATTGTATGTGTTTTAGGAGGCATACAATCAAATAGCCGTAGATAGTGATGTCATCAAGTCCATTGACAGTGATAACTTTGAAAATAGTAGTTTTTCATCGAATACTGACTCACATCAGCAGCCAACACATTCCGATACTCATTTAACCGTACAGTCATTGCAACAGCATCAAAAACACAGTTCGATGGACAAAAGCCAAGGATTCACATCGCAAGCAGATGGTGGTGGAAGCTCATTTGGTGGTGCAATGCATATGAGTCGGAATACTATTGCCAGCAATGCAACCGATTTAAATGTGACCACATCTCAGGTTGATCAGTCAAATGCCAGTCAAACGTTGATAAGCGAGTCATCGTTGCTGGCCACTTGCAATTTAGCAACATTTTTAATCCAACGAGCATGTAAGAATCCAACACTATCCAATTATCTCTATTGGTATTTATATATTGAATGCGAAACGCATGATACGATTCGTAAGCAAGACGAAAGAGTAAAACATATGTATGAAACTGTGTTGAAAATCTTCAAACGTACCCTAATGTCAAATGCTGAACTGAAGGCGATCAAAGTTAATTTGGAAAAGCAACAATTATTCATTGAGGAATTGGTGAAACTTGTCAAGATTGTGGCCAAAGAATCGGGCAATCGCAAGAAAAAGTGTGAAAAATTTCAACAACTATTAGGTGACAGCGATGCATTTCGCATTAATTTTTCAAATTTTGACCCCATTCCATTGCCACTTGATCCATCGGTCATTATTCGTGGAATTGTTCCCATGAAAGTGTCATTGTTTAAGAGCGCCTTAATGCCAGCAAAGTAAGTTAATTTCTATTTTGGTTAAAGTCAAACATTTCATCTATTCTTTTGTTGTACAGATTAAGCTTTATCACCGATACCGATGAAGAATACGTGGCTATTTTCAAGTACGGCGATGATTTGCGTCAAGATCAATTGATTCTACAAATGATTACGCTGATGGATAAATTACTGCAAAGAGAAAACATGGATTTGAAACTCACACCATATCGCGTACTGGCAACGAGCTATAAACACGGTTTTATGCAGTACGTTGATTCGATAACAGTTGCTGAGGTGCTTGCCACAGAAGGAAGCATTCAAAATTTCTTCAAAAAACATCATCCATGCGAAAATGCACCGTACGGCATTGCACCCGAAATAATGGATACGTACATTCGTAGCTGTGCTGGATATTGCGTCATCACATACTTGTTGGGTGTTGGAGATCGACATTTGGATAATTTACTGTTAACCACTTCGGGAAAATTGTTCCATATCGATTTTGGGTACATTCTGGGCCGCGATCCAAAACCAATGCCACCGCCTATGAAACTCGTAAGTACTCGAAGAAAAAATGCGATAATAGCACAAATGGTTCATTCACTAATGAAATGTTTCTTTGCCTTTTGTTTACTTTTGCAGAGCAAAGAAATGGTCGAAGGAATGGGTGGAATTTACACTGATGATTATCATGAATTTCGAAAATATTGTTACACATCATTCATACATTTGAGACAGCATGCCAATGTCATCTTGAATTTATTCACTTTGATGATTGATGCATCTATTCCGGGTATGTACTGATTTCAATGGCACGGAAGCTGATGCAAAACAGAGTTTGCTTCTGCGCTGATATCAGTGTCATTGACTGAAAATTCAGGCACCGCGTGAAATATCGTTCTTTGATTGATTTTATATGTGACTGAAATTACTAAAGGACCAATGCAATGCATACTGTCTGATTTTTCAGTCAATGACACTGATGAAGAAAATTCTGTTTTTTTTTTTGTGTGTAAATTGAAAATTAATTTTGTTTTTTCTCAATAGATATCGCCCTTGAGCCGGATAAAGCAGTGAAAAAGGTTGAAGAAAATCTTAAACTTAATCTAGATGATGAAGAAGCGGTTCAACATTTACACGGTTTGTTAGACGCATCGATTTCCGCAGTAATGCCAGCACTTGTTGAGCAACTTCATAAATTGGCACAATATTGGCGAAAATAAGGACAATTCCATGTCGAAATTCGAATATTTTGCAATTAAAATGGAATATACTGAATCGCTGGTTAACAATAACAGATATAAGAAAAGAGTATGTCATTTTTTTTAATTTATGCGATATTTTATTTATCATCAATTTCTAACTGAAAAACCAATAAATAAAGTATATTTTCTAAATAAAACCAAGCTGGTGTGACTTATTCGTTTTTATTTCAATTATTCGCTTATTTTTAAAATTCAGTGAAATCAATTTCAAACCAGATTCAATCTAAACTTCAATGTCATCACAATCAACGCACACAGTTGAAGCTATGAGTGAATTTTTTTCTTGCAAAATAAAAATTCCAATCAATTTTCAATACAATAAGCAAAAGTATACATAATTTCATCAATATTTTGAAATCGTCGTTTGTTAGAATTTCATCCACATAGTACAAATGTTCATTCTTCAAAGTTCGAGATTCGTTTATGAAAAAAAAAACAGATTACAAGATATGACTGATTAACAATATATTTTTTTTAAATCAAATCAATTTAAATCGTTACGTACTTTTAGGAAACTATGTAAAAATCATTTTCTTTTGTCATATTCAAACGAGGATTTCATAGAAATCATATTCAGTTCCTGTATTGCATGCGTCAGATGTAATTTTAAAATGAAAGTTCAATAAATGTTTGACACACTGTTCGAATAGCTTTCTGTGATGGTCATTTTCTTCTTTCAAACTGTTTGGTTGTGGTAATCAAAATCGTAATTATTTTCCAATGAAATCAACATTTGGATAGCTGCCGATGAGAAGCGATCATTTTTATTGTAAATTCCAGTATTCAAAGTATCAAATTCAACGGTCTGAGCTATATGAGCTTTGAATTAAAATTATTCAAACTTTATATACCAAGACGTGGTGGTCAACTATTTTTTTTCCTTCGAGATTGTTCTCAATTTGTTTTCTTTTTCTTCATTAAATATTATTCAAAATCGATTTCTATCGGGTATGTAGATTGTGACAGTGTGTGGTGTGTGGTTTTTCTAAGAGAGGTTATAATTTATGTTATGTTCTATGACATGTTTCGATCTAGTTTTATTTTGCTCGTTTGGATGTTTTGTGCCACAATTATAAATATTTGATTTATATAATATTACTATAGTTAGAGTGGTGAAAATAAACAATGGGCCACTGTATACACATATCAAATTGGATCATTTGAACCATAATTTAAGCCGAAGTGCATCAACTCCATTCAAATAATAATCGAAAAGTCGTTTATCACGAACAAAGCCCAAATTTTCATACAATCGCAACGCTGGTATATTCGTAATTTCCGTTTCTAGTACAACTTCATCAGCGTTGTGTTCAAGCATTGCCTAATCGAATAATCAAAAAAAGGAATAAAAATAAAATTAGAATAAATTTAATGTGCATTTTTAAAAGTGTTTTAATTACCTCAATTGCCTTTTGCACAAGTGTCGTTCCGACCTTGAGTTTTCGATAAGCGGCATCCACGGCCAACATAGCAATATAGCCTCGCTTCGTCATTTGTCGATGAATATCCAACTTACAGACGATTGCTCCAATACAATTATCACCATCCATTGCAAGGAAACAAAGTTTTGGCCAATTGTGTATGAAATAACGATACGTATAAATCGAATACGGTTCGGATAATTCACGTTGAATAACACGCATAATATCGGGCATTTGTAGTTCATTTTCGTATTCCTTGAACTTCACTTCAACGGTGGATGTTTTAATGCTTTCCACCGACAAAGCGGATCTTGGTAACGTCGATTCTGGGTACACGCTTGGGTTCGATGTTGATGTTGACGGTAAATTGTTATGCTGTTGACTACTACACGATGCTGTTGCAAGAACACTGTCTTTGGATGACACAGTTGCTTCGGTGTGTTCCGTTGACACTTGTGATTTTATTCCATTTTCTGTACTGGTTCCGGGACTTGATAAATAGGTTGAAGTGTTTGTGCCAGTTGCTTGATGCTCAGCACAGTGTTCCATTGATGTCGAATGGGTTCCATTACATTGCACATTGGTTTGCATGGCCTCGGAACAATTCGCAACATTATTTGAACTATTATTTACAATTTTTTCCGATTGATTTTTATTGTGAGCTTTACTATTGTTGTTGTTGTTGTTACTATTATTTTTATTGTAATTCAATTGCTTGGACATTTGTTGTGATTGAACGGCAGATCCATTATCGCCTTGTTTCGATGATATTTGTTGGCCACTATCATTCGATCTACGTACCGATATCGATGTTCCATTACATTGCAATCGTCGAAGAAGCTCTTCGCTAACGGCACGAATATCAGGATCGGCGTGTTCATTAACTGGTGTTGCATTTAAACCATTTTCATTAACCGCATTTGCATTGTTGGTCGTTTCTTTACATTTATGTTTTTCACGTTTTTTATTGTTGGCCCCCTTTTTGACATCGGTTGTGATCACATCATTGGTCATTGGTTGCGTACGGATTGCATCATTTTCATTTGATTTTTGCACCGTTTTTACGGATTTTTCTTTGTTTGGCATTTTAACATTCGATTTTTTCGGTATAGTACACTGGCTATTGCATGCATTAATTCCTAGTCCGTAGCACACCACAAACAATTCATTCAATTCAACTTTTATGAGTAATTAACGTGAATTTAGCTATTTTTCTATGAAAAAATTATCATTCGAATAGAAATGTCACAAAAAAAAAATTGGCTTTTATCGCCCAGACATTCGTCTTCACTTAGATACGTACGATTCACTTCACACATCAAGGAATATTCATGAAAATATTCTTATATCTCTATCATGCCAAATACATGTGTGTGTCAAATCATTTAAACCATCAATCATTACAATTGAATTGGAAAATAAATGAATGTCACAACAATTTTTCTTTTTCGCAATTTTATTTATTGATGTAAACTTTAGGACGATCGCAAATGAAGTAAAAAAAATCGCGTTTCGATACGTTTCGACACTAGGTGACTTTTCTCCTGTCGTAATATAAAAAAAAATCTTTTTCTTTTCTTAGGTGCCAAGACGAGAATGACTATGGTTATATTATGTATTGTAATGATGTTTATTCGTAGAGCAGCTGTGACATTTGCTGGGGAGGCGCAGTCGTTTCGCTAATATTCTCGTTTCAATGATACGACCAAATGCGAAAGCAAATATCACAGGAAAATTAACCACATTTCAATGAATTTATTCAGAAACAAAAAATTCACCGTAAAATCATTGATTGATTTGTATAAATCGAAGTTTTTGTCATTTATTGGGAAATCAATTGGACGCTGGCAATACTTTTTGTGTGTATTTTGTCAAATTTGTATTTGTGACTGTCAAAATATTACACAAACCTAACCATGATATGGAGTGCATGCGAATGACAGCTCTCTTATGTAAAACAAATGAATAACATTTTTTTTGTATGTGTACTTTTTGGAGCACAACTATTTATTTGAATTATTATTTCTGTGCATATTCTCTAGAAACAATCAGTATATGCTTTAATTGCTAAAACGTTTGACATAAATTCTATTTGAATGTTTATCCATTCATTTTCTTAAGTAGATCTTCATCCTGCATCGACATCGCTGTTAATTTTTTCCCAATGCGTTCGTGAATATCCAAGTACTTGGCAACGCAACGATCTAAACAGACGGCTTCACCTTTTCCTAAATCTGCTTCGCCGTATTTGGGTGGGATGCACTTTTTATGACATGCTTGAGTCATGCGATTGTATAAATCCGACATCATTTCGATTTCCATTTCCTGCATCATTTGCAGTTTGGCTTGATCGGCTGCGCTCATTTGTGCCATACTGGAATTTTATTTTATTTTTGTATAAATTTAATTTTCTTCTTTCGTTGGTTTGAACACGTATTTCTCCGGTCGAGTGTATTCGCCTTTGTTCGCCTCTTGCATTCGCTGACGAATCTTATAATCTTCGTATCGACGGGCGTCAATTGATTTTTTTGAATAGTAAAATCCCGCAAAACTAAGCCCAACAAGAATGATCCTGCAATGAAAAACCACGCCAAAAAAAATGAAAGTGAATTGAAAGTAAAAATAACATGAAAACATCACAAACATAACCTCAAACATTGTTTAGCGAAAAATTCATGCAGAAAAACGTATTGATAGCAATTTTTAATATTTCCATGCAACATTTTGACAAAATCAAAAGCATTTTTTTCCAAATAAATGCACTTACAAACACAATGCTTACCACCCAGTTGCAATTTTTCCAAAGTGAGCTCCACCAGCCATACCGTGATTAAATTCTGTCACAGAAAACCTCTGTCAACTGAAATCGATTTGATGTGTTTTTTTCTCATTCATTCCAATTGGCATAGAGTGCTTGGCATTTTGACAGATCTGCTGGACAATCTGCATTGACAACATTTTTAATTAAAAAGTTATAAGACAACCTGTTTTGTTCGTTTCATCATTTCGAATTTATTTTCTATTTTTTGTGTTATTTTTTTTTTCTCTCAATTAAAAATGAGTTAGTTTCTTCTCTCGATTAAAATAAACTTAATTGAGATTAAGCTTTTTGAGTGAAAACTCCTTTGTGTTTGAGAGTCACACAATATGTATCTAAATTCAAGTAAATGTTATTATATAAATAAAATCAGTTTTGGTGTACAATTTAATTGAATTTAATTATTGGCCATGACCATGATGGACTGTGATATCTTGAAATTGGTGATGACTTAGTTCTTTTGCTTCGCCAGCGCTTCCAAAAGAACCCCCATCGAAGTCCGCTTGGTTTTCAATGGTTTCGTATTGATGATGCTGTTGTGAACCATCGTATTGTGAACCGTCCGCACTGTATTCATGCAATGTATAATCCTTATGATCTGTCTCATTTTCCAATTCTAATCCATACGAATGTGATGGCTTCGTTTCTGGATGCAGCACCTATTTCACATTGAGTATTATGAGTATTTATTTGGAATAGGTAAGCTAGCATATCATTTCTTCGACATTTATATCGTTATAGACAATTTCTTTTTATTGTAATCAAACAATACTTTTCATTGTACAAATTATTGTAATCAAACGATACAAAAGAAATGGATTTTTTTACCTTATGTTTGTGTTTAACACCGCCGACTTCGATTGGATTCTTCAAATAATGTTGATCTTCATGTTTTACGTAGACCGGCACTGCATGAAAATGATGAATTTTAAAACTTTGATGTGATATGGCATGTTCATGATCGATTTTGTGGTGATGATCTGTTTCCGATTCCAATGGTTCCACATCGTGAATTACATGAGCAAGCGATAGAGCAAACAATGAGCACAAAATCTACACGTTAAAATCGAATAAGAAAAAAAAAAAAGGAAAAATAAAATAAAAAAATGATTGATTTAAATAAAATTCCTTCTCGCACTAATGACTTTAACACTTACAAAAATTTTCCACATTTTGCTTCTTTAATAAATCACAAGAATTAAAACGAATTTGAGTTTTTTTTTACTGTTATTTGATTTTGCTTGCACTTTTACGTTACGCTTTTCTTTGCTTTCGGTTCAGAACTGGAAAGTTTTCTGTGTAAAATGCACCGCACAACAAACGAAACACACAACCGCTTCGAAAAATTTCCAAAAGTTGAATGCACGAAACGGTCTAGCGTTATGGCTCTATATATACCATACAAAATTTAGTTGACCCCTCTATTCGACGTCGCATTGGCATGATGTGCATTCGGCGCGAAACATAAAATTCATCGTGTTTTCTTCACATGATTTAATCTGCAGAGATTACGTTTGCGCCACGCTTTATAAAATCATATGTAACGATTGATACAGCCGTGATTAAGTCTGTTTATGGGTCTAATGTGCGACTTAAACTTCGGAAACGAACCGATCGGAGAGGCAATCGAAAAGAACTTGATTTTCAAAAATTTTGCTAAAGAGAAGAGAAAAAAACGGCCAATTACTCAAATTGGATGAAAACAAGTAAACAACGGCAATGGAAGGCCAATACACGAGAGAGAGAGAGAGAGAGAGAGAGAGAGAGAAAGAGAGAGAGAGAAAGAGAGAGAGAAAATAAACAGACTGCTTACATTGATAGTGGCAAACATGCTTCGTTCACTGTGTGCAGCAATTAGACGAAGTCATAAAATGTTATTGATAATGATAACTTTCATGTATCAAGAGCCATCGATTGGTTGGCTGGTTTAGTTGATAAAAGAGAAAACAACAAAAAGGAAGATGTGCGTTTTTATCACATCACACATTCAGTTAAAGAAACGGATACATATAGTTCCTCGGCAATGATTTTGACGAGAAAACGAGTTTGACGCCAATGTTTTTTTTCCACTTGATTATGATGTCTACCGTTTTGAAGTATTTTCCTTCATTCAGAATAACTTAATTTTACAAGACAGTGAAATTAACAGACGTACACACGGCGACAGAAAAAAACACAAATTTTTGAACATCGAATCAATTACCGTGGCATTTAAACGCGTTCTATTTCGGCGCATAATTGTGCTGTGTTTTTTTTATTTCCCTTTTGTTTTCAATGAGTATTGTGCATTGGGTTAGTGTTACAATTTTTATTTCCAGCAGAACAATTTTGCTGCGAAATTTTCGCGTGTGTAATGAGCCAAATGGTAAATCTTATTGTAACACAATATCGGTTTCTTTCATAGGTTTTTCCCAGACATTAGGCTCGAGCTATGCATATAGCGGCTGCTATTTTATAGGTGCTATTCATAGGCGCTATTTAATTCGTGTGCTGTGTGTAACACCGAGTAGGAATATCATAGCCTTCTATTCTTTTGTACATTTGAATGTGAGTACGAGAGAGATGTAGAAAATAACGCACAATATGCATAAATGCATTAAAACGAGATAAATAGCGCCTATGAATAGCGGCTATGAAATAGCAGCCGCTATATCCATAGCTCAAACCTAATGTCTGGTTTTTCCGATTAAATGCGCTCACACAAATTACTTTATGCTCACATAATACCGAGTTTTATGAAGCTTGAAACAATGCAAAATCTATAATAATCATTCACAAAATCATTACCATACTCTGTGCAAAATTGGAGAAGGCTTTTTATTAGTATTGTTACAACGATTTATTATGGCTGCATTTCACATGCCAACCAAATGTAGAAGAGAAAAAACAAGCAGCGGCACAAACTCGAATGCAAAAACAGCAACGGCAATGTCAGTCACAAGAAATGTACAATTTTCGTTTGATTTGGTGAGATAGCAGATAGCAAAAGCAAATCGATGTAGTATTATAGTTTTAAGTGGCTAGAGGTAAATGCGTTCAATGCAAAACAATTGATCGCTTCGAATCGAGGAAATAGAGACGTAATGCATGGCGTTGCGTGTACGTGTTCATTTCTACATGCACGTAAAAGATCCGTTTTCACACTTCTTGCTTATTTGCTGGCTGCAACAACAATTTGCAGTTGCTCTGCGCTGTGATGAGAAGAACTGAATTTTTCTTATAAATGTGTCATGAAACAAGAGGTATGTGAGTGTGTGCATGCGATAGTTACCATATCTTTTGCATTTCCTGAAATCGTTATTTCTTGTTATCTTCTTCTCGTTGTGACTGCCTTTTATTCAGCTTTCTTTCCACTGAATGCGATGTGTGTGTGTGCACGTTTTCAATTTTCAACTGAATACAGATTTTCATTCAAATGGCTGTTGAACGATGAGAATTTAATGCACACACCGTATGTAAACAAATAATAGTCACAATAGAGTGTACATATTGATTTCCATTCACGGAAAGTTCATTTAAAATTGTGCACACAAAGCAAAAAAAAGAGACTATAGTGATCATCAATGAAAGTCACTGAACAAAATGTTCAACTCTTAAAATGATTATGGCATATACGGAAAAAACAAATCGGCTGGAATCCACAGACAAATGCCAAAAAAAAACAAAGCACCAAACATTTATCAAGCACAAAAACAAAACAAAAAGAAATACAAGACATTTTGACATTGTTAAACTGACATGAATTGAAAATTTCGGTTCATTAATTTGGCTTACATAAATTGCGAACGCATTTTATCGATTTTGCCGTTCTCTTTAAGATGCATTCGTTCTCTCTTTTACCAAAACCCCGTTTCATTTTCTTCATCACAAATGACTTATATTTCGCCAATGTAAAATTGGAAGTACATATATATAAAATCCAAATATTTGGTTTGCATAGAGAGTGAATGGTGGCTTTTAAAATGATGTAATTGTAAAAAAACGAAACGATTTGTTTTATTGTTTCAAACGGTAAAATTCATTTTTATTTTTTCTAATCAGTGTCTGCGCAACTCTTACGTTAGCGAATATTGGATTTATGATTTGGAGATTGGGCCACAATTTTCATTTTGATGTAATAATTGTTAAAGGTGAAAAAGGAAAAAATAAAAAATAAAATTCGAACTAGCATCGTACGTAATTCAATTGGCAGCCTATTTCTGTACTTTCAATAATCTGATTATAATTTAATGTCATCGAAAAGTCTAGCGAAAAGTTATATTTGAATAACAGCAAAAAAAGTAAAAGTCATCAGAAAATATCAACTATAACCAGTAAGGTAAGATTGTTGCTTAATGCATCACTTGCAAACGATTTTCAGTGCACAACTCAATGCGATTGAATCGGTGTCCATGCAATGCGTACGCAATTCATGTTACAATGAATACGATGTGCTGGTATGTTTCTTTTTTCATCATCATCATCATCATTTTGTGGTTTATACAGTGCATCGCACCGCATACGAGTTCAAGTTCAATAAAAACACTTAATTTACGGTTACATTTTATCTATAACAGTTTGTATGTGCACGACCGCAGCAACGATGTAATCTGCTTTGTAATTTAGTCAACGGTTGTGCACACTTCACATAGCAAGGAAAATCGAAAGTAATATTGCACGACGTAATAATGAATAATACTGATCAACATCAGGCTTTTTGCACTCACAATTGCGCGACATATGTGTGTAATATAAATTAGTTTAAGGTAGATATGGTTGAAAAAATTGGATCGTTTTACGGACAAATGACACCGTAGCAATTCGTAATTAATACCGACACTCGTCAGTCTGTTGCAACTGACTTCGTGGTACAATTTTTACTTCGTCACTACAAGAATTTCACTGTTCAGAGATTTTTGTAATTAATTATCTTTATCACTATCTGCATTGAATGAACACAAATGAATTGGATTTCAAGCTCGTTGTCTGTTATATCTGCTGTTTTTCAAGTGACATTTTATGCTGCCGGCATTGATTCAAAATTTCATGTGAGTTTTGGTAATCAATCATAAGCAAATTACTGTTCGATCAAGTTTTTTTTATTGAGTAATTGATTCACTTAGAGCATATTTCGCTTTAAATTGAATTAAGAGAAAGTTTTAGATACAAAGACTTTACGAATAAATTCAAATCTAATTATCTTAAACGGAGCCCGATCATGGTATAGGATTTCCTATATAAAACTTGTAACTA